GACTCTAACTCACAAAGCACCTGAGACGGCTACTTCATTATACGTATGTTGCCTTAGATGACGCACATAATGGAGATTCGTTGCAGAAGCTATGGCGCCTTAGATCCCCCTTTCTTGTGCAATCCCACTTTCTTGTCCGGGTTCCCCACACGGTTTGTCCTTCCCTGTCCTTCCCTCATGCGTATGTTGCCACGTGCCTGTCTCTCTCATCACCCCTTCCCTTCCTTTTTCAGAAAAACTCCTCCTCTCCCTTTTTGTGCTCACTGCTCACTCTTTAAGGTGTTTCGATTACCTTTTTCCATGTTCTTCATCGAAATACATTTTTTCCCCCTGATGCGCTCATGGTGTTTCTACTCTTCTCTCTCGAGTGATTCTTCTTCTTCTTCTTCTTCTTCCTTCTTCTTATTCTTCTTCTTCTTCTTCTTCTTCTTTCTTCTTCGTCTTTTTCTTTTTCTTCTTCTTCTTCTTCTTCTTCTTCTTCTTCCGTCTTTCCACATGATTTAAGCTATCCTCTACTTGCACCTCGCTGACGTATGCGCTATAAAGTGTTTGCTCTCCTTCATACTTTTTTTTTCTTTTCCCCCTACATACTTCGGTGCTGTCGCCTTCCACAGTTGCATTTTTTCTCTTTTTTTTTTTTTTTTTTTTTTTTTTTTTTTTTTTTTTTTTTTTTTTTTTTTTTTTTTTTTTTTTCCTTCTTCTTGTTCTCCTTTTTTTCCCCCTTTGTATTCTCTCTTTTTTTTTACCCAGTTCCCTTTTTTTCCCCCCTTTCTATTCTCTTCTCTCTTTTTCCATAGTCCCATCTGAATTAACCATATTGCATGTCGATTTTTGCCATAAACTTGATGAAAGTTTATGGAAGTCCGTAGTCGCGATTTTTGCGATAAACTTGAGGAAAGATGAAGGGCTCACTCCTCACTCTCTTTATGGTGTTTCGATTACTTTTTTTTTTTCCTTTTTTTTTTTTGGTTCGATTACTTTTTTCCATAGTCCGATCTGTATTGTCAGTCGCCACGGTGTGTGGGGTGCTGGCAATCGCTCTGTGTTGAGCGTCCTCATTCGTAGTCCCATCTGTATTGTCAGTCGCCACGGTGTGTGGGGTGCTGGCAATCGCTCTGTGTTGAGCGTCCTCATTCGAACAGAACGGCCGGTCATTTATGGCTCTATTTGGTCCAAGTTTGCGTCCAAATACAGCTACTTCAGTGACCAGTGTTTGGAATCCTGACGGAAGCAGATGCATTAAAAATAAAAACAGTGCTAGGGGCTACACTCTTGGAAAACGGCGAAAAAAAGAAGAAGAAAAAAAAAAAGGAAAGATATTCACAGCTGTTGAGATATTGTGAACAGTTCCTTGTGAGCAGATGCATTAAAAATAAAAACAGTGCTAGGGGCTACACTCAGAATTTGACCGGGCGTTCTGTTCGAATGAGGACGATAAACACAGGCAGGCAGCACCCCCCACAAACACATCTTCGACAGACTGTCGGGGTTCAACGTCCTCCTGATCAGTCGGTCAAATTCTGAGAATGAACTTTTCATCCAGAGCATGGCCAGATGCACCCGCCACATTTTTGTCGTTTTCACATTTCGAGAGTGGTGTGGCCAGTCCCAGAGTATGGCACAACGTGGCAGGCTTTTTTTTGTTGCTGCACAAACGGCTGTATACTTCCGTGTTCTAGTGCAAGATTCAATCTCAATTTGGCATTTGCACATTTCGAGAGTAGTGGAGCGAGGCCCTGTACCGGACATCACAACACAGACAGGAAAAATCACAAACATTTAAAACACACACACACACACACACACACACACACACACACACACAAAAGCGCGCGCGCGTTCGCGCTTTCTTTTCTCATTTTAACTTTTTTTTTTTTTTTTTTTGATTGATTGATTGATTGATTGATTGATTGATTGATTGATTGATTGATTGATTGATTGATTGGTTGATTGGTTGATTGATTGGTTGGTTGGTTGGTTGGTTGGTTACGGGGGGCTCGTCCCCCCCACGCACACACACACACACACACACACACACACACACACACACAGAGAGAGAGAGAGAGAGAGAGAGAGA